TTATACAAATAAGAAATAACGAATGTACAGTTAAATAAGGAATGGAATAATACTGTAACATGGCTGTTAAAGAACTCATAATTCAAGGGTCACATGTTAAAATCTATTGCAGATAATTAAATACTAAGTGTTATTGTTGATCATATAATTCGAACTTTGAGAGGACCGCTCTGACTAATTCGATTCAAGTGCATGCACAGTGTATAAAAATTAAAGAAATTAAAGAATAATTATGAGTATTTAATTAAAAATTATAACATTTAGCGTGTGCATTGTGAACTCAACTGGTCTTCCCGGAAAACCCAATTCAGTACAAACAATCTATTGAAAGGAGCGCTTAGATTTGGCGAGTGGATAACTCAAGACTTCGATTGTCAATTCTTTGTAGTGGGGCCTACGATAAGCACATGAGTAATGAGCAAAGATAGTTTTACTATTGCTGTAGAATATCGAAGGTTTTGATATGTCGCATTACTTTAGATACAATTGTTATGTCTAAGTCGAGGCATGCTTTCATTTTTGGACAAAAGTAATTTTTATTTATGACCACTACATTATTGAAAGGTCTTTGTCGAAAGGTCTTTGTCCTCATATTCATTATATTTTGTTATATATTCATTTTATCCCTGGGAAACACAAAGACCTTTGTAGCCATTTCTATTGAATCTAGGTGCTGTACAATAAAGTGCAGTAGATTCTTAGTTTCAATTCTTAATTTCAATTGGCTGCTATAAGTGAACAATATACAATCAGACTTCTATAATTGTATCTCTTCTAAACTTACTAACTATATAAATTTTTCTTCATATGAACGTTCTGGCATGATTCCTAAATTACAATTTTTGGCAATTCGTCCTTACCTGAGGAGAAAAATTAGAGATTTGACTTTGACAATCATTTGAAGATTTCTCAATAACCACTTGATCAAATTTGATAAAAAAAATTTTAATTTTGTTAAGAGTTATCAAAAAAATATTCATTAAAATGTTAAAAAAAATTTCCCGATGAATAAGTGTAAATTCGTATCTTCGAATGATTTGCACAATACTAATATGAAAAACGGTTGATATAAAAGCTTAGAACAAACAAAATATCATGACATGGGTGAAAATCAAAGTACTTTCTCCTACCTTTCTACTAGCGATAAATCAAGAATAATTTTGATTAGTAAACATTCCATTGCACCTTTTTTGTGAAATATCAAGTTTTTAAGGTTATTATCTAAATTACAGTTAATACAATTCATTCAACTGGACTAAACAATCAAATTTGATAGTCGCACTTCCTGAAGTTAATAAATTCCATTTAAAAAATATTATTATAGTTTATGTGTTCTCATTAGTTTATTATGATCACGGATTACATACAATGTTGAGCATAAATGACTTTAATCGGCGCCTTCATAGATGGTAATTTCTATGTTAACCATAGTATAAAGCTTTTGCGTAGGGAGAGAGCCAACCGTATATATTTTAATCTTTTTGTTAGACCTCGAACTATATTAGTTCTCAAACATTAACTTCATATCTTGACTTCCACGATTCTGAGCCATGCTCGATCATATTCAATCATTGCATCATATAACAACGTTATTTGACTTTTTTATATTTACATGACAGGTATGCTAAAAACCCTTACTATTAAATCATTTACCGGTATTTTTATTTGTAATGTGATTTTTGCCCATGACTTAATTAATACATTAATTAATTATAAACATTTTATGTGAAATTTTCTAATTTTATTCTTGCGCGATGAGATCATAGGGCCAGACTTTAGCTGATTCTTCGGTTGAGTCTTCTGCTGAGTCCTCTGCTGAGTCTTCGGTTTCAATGATTTTTTTGATTTCAGGACGCAAATCTCGTAAAATTTCATCTTTATGTTCATCTTCAAGATTTTTTACATATTTTTTAAGTTCATTAATTGAAGCATCATAATATCTAAATATTTAAATTTTATGTTAGTATATATATAATATTTGCAATATAAAGAAATCAAAATAATTACAAAATTTCTGGAAACCAGTTTTTTTTTCTTCTTTGGTGGGGAAGCATCCAAAAGAGTTCAATTTCGGCTAATATCTAGTAATAATAATTATTATTTTAATTTTTAACTTATATTCATAATATATTTTTATAAAATACAACCAAAAAAATTTACCTCTCCTCTTAACTGTAAAAAAGATTCTTCATTATTTGTTTGGTCAATAGCATTTACAAGTAATGTAATAAATAGATTCAATAAATAGATTGTTGTAAAAAATGAAAATATAACTAATAAAAATGTTAAAGTCAAATTATTGACTAAGCCCCATGAAGTAACTGCACTTGTATCGCCTAAAACAAATATATTATTTAAAAATATTATTATTTTTTTTGATAGAAAATTTGGTCGAATTATTATTTTATAATACCTGTTAACATAAAGTATACTGCTAAAATAGAAGTACTAAGCGTTGTAAATAAATTTGTATTTTCATCAGGTGCTTCAATAAGTGTTGATTCTCCGATAGTGCCATTAGATGAAATAAACTTATATTTTTGAGCAAGATTCCAAGGATTATTAGCATCGTCAGTATTACTTGG